TGGCCCCTAAAAGGTCACTTTTGCCACTCTGAGGCAAGTCCCCACAGGCCTCTCTGTTGGGGCACCTGCCCTTTCGAGGGTGACTTAGGGAGCCGCTACTGCACACACAGAAATCACTGCAGGGACTGTCAGGGAAGGGAGCCCCTGGAGCCTCGCAGAGCCAGGCAAGGGGGCTAGCAAGCCAGCTACACTCTGCTTGGTTTTTCACATTTGTGAGAATGCCCACAGGAAGCGGGGTGAGGAGGTGGGGAGGAAATGTTTCAGAATGTTCCAGGTGCAGGCAGTGCAGATGTATGTTCCAAGCTGAAGGAGCAGGACAGAAGGGAGTGTGTTCTTACTTGGAGGATCAGATGGGGCCACCCTGGAGGTAGGGATTCAACTCCTGCTGTTCCCCCCCTCCACCAAGTGGATCCTGTCCTAAGTCAGCCAGAGAGGAGGAGGAGGAAGAAGCAGTTGGCAAGAGGCTTCCCCTAACCTCTCCTCCCTCTCTCTGCCTCACTTCCCTCAACCACTGGCTGCCTGAGCTGCTGTTTTCTCTGGTTGCTAGATGACTGTGTCCACTTGAGTTCCACAACAAACACAGTTGGAGCACCAGAGGGGCAGATGCACGGACAGGTCCCTGACAGCTTCTGTAATTTGCCCAGCAGCTGTCCCACACCACCCCCTTCCAGTTCCCAAGGTAACCCTTTTCTTTCCTCGGTGCCCCATGTCTCTGATGGTTCTCAAACAACCCGAGAGACTGCCAGGGGCCAGGGAAAGAGGCAGGAAGGACAGGAAGGGGTTTCCAAATGCTTTGGGGAATGGAAAGTCCACAGGTGCTTTCCCTAAATCCTGGTGAAACAGCAAGGTCAGGTGCTTCCATGGCCATACTCATCCAGTCCAGCTCCAGGTAACTGCATTTCAGAGACTCAGGCCTGCGTCCAGTGTGGTAGCTGAGCTTGCACATGCCAAGGTCCCACATGGGTACTGCTCCTCTTCCCTTCCAGCTCCTTGCTTGTGACCTGGGAAAGCAGTCGAGGACAGCCCAAGGCCTTGGGACCCTGCACCCTCCTTCGTGTGAGACACAGAAGAAGCTCCTGGCTCCTTGCATCTGATTGGCTCAGCATCAGCTGTTGTGGCCACTTAGGGAGTGAATCAGCAGACAGAAGATCTTCCTCTCTGTCTCTCCTTCTCTCTGTATATCTAACTTTCCAATAAAAAGAAATAAATCTTAAAAAAAATGAGAGAGAGAGACTCAGGCCTTTGCTTTTTGTTTATGCAAGGCTCTGAATTCTATACCATGCAGAGTGAAGGATGAAGAGACAGACAACCTTTAGCTGCAAAACGCTAGCGGGCCAGGGCCCAGGAAGGACACAGGTGCAATCCCTGGATTGCAGACTTGCAGTCTAGGAAGTCAGAAACAGGGTAGGGACCACATGCTGAGCTCCTCGTGTCTTGAGCCCCACCCCTGCACCAGATAAGACTTCCGTGTGGGCTCTCCCTGGGATGCTGATTCTCATGCTTGCCTTGTCTTCACTCTGGTGGTGATGTCCAGTGCCCTCGCTTGCCAGACCCTGGACTGGATCCATTCAAATGTGCATGGCTCTTGTGTTATTGCACTCAGGGATCAAGTGTAGTGGGCAAATAGATAAAGAGTCAAAATACAAGTACATTGAGATTCTTGGGGCATAGATGTGGGTGGGTGGCCTCCAAGGTGGGGGAGAAGAGAGTGGAGGGAAGGAGGAAGAGGAAGAGGGGGAAGATGGAAGCTGGAGTGGAAGGGTTTGTGTGGTGACTTCCTAGTCGTTCACCAGCTGTGACCATTTCCTCTCTGGTTTCCCTTATGCTTCCCCTGCCAACCCCAAGCTCCAGTACCCGCCCTGCCTGGGGCTAATGAACAATGCTGCCCAAGCTCTTCCCAACTGAAACAGTGGAAGGCCGCAGACTCAAACTGAATCACCCAGCTCCCTTGTCCTGCTGGTTCTCAGCAGTGCCAGTGATTGGAAACGACACTGCACCCCACCTCCGACACCATGGATCCCAGCAAGTCCCCCTTCTTCCTCCAGCCAACTCCCCTGAGCTCCAATGTGAGTTTGTTTTTCCCTACTGGATTGAGAAAGGGCCAACGGATGAACCTGGGGCAGTTGAGCGGCACCATCTGGGGCTTAGACAGCGAGAGCATCCTTCCTGCCAGCTCACAAAAACCCATGCAGAAATAAGCCACACTGCGCATGTCTGTCTGCATGCTCACCAGTCACACGAACAGAGATGGCTCACATCCTCTCTGGCTCAGGTGTCTGCTCAGCACAAGGAACCACAGCCCCATGGTAGCTCTTCTTTATGGGGCTGGAGTAAGACAAGAAGGCCCAATAGGAAGGGGCAAGAGCGGCCAGGGAGGCAACCAGCCGGTCAGACCTTGTCCTAGATGAAATTTTTGGTGGCTGGCTCCTGGCACCAGGAAAGGATCAGCTAATCAGGGTGATGTGACAGAGGATCTGAGGGAGAAAGGACTTGGCTAAGTGTCTAGGACCAGGTGTTAAGATAACCAAACCTGGGCCTGGTGCAATGGTTCAACTAGCTAATCCTCCCCTTGCAAGCACAGGATCCCATATGGGTGCCGGCTCATATCCTGGCTACTCCACTTCTCATCCAGCTCCCTGATTGTGGTCTGGGAAAGCAATGGAAGATGGTCCAAAGTCTTAGGACTCTGCACTATTGTGGGAGACCTGGAGGGAGCTCCTGGCTTCTGGCTTCAGATTGGCTCAGCTCTGTCTTTGCAGCCATTTGGGGAGTGAGCCAGTGGTTGGAAAATGTTTCTCTCTGTAAATCTGCTTTTACAATAAAATTGAAAAAGAATTAAAAAGTAAACCAAGGCCATTGTTCCCATCAACACCCCTCAGCTGCCTACCTCATGTACAGGCACAAATACCCATACACACACACGTACACACATACACACATTTTAATGCATACACATACATAGAAAGAACATACTATTTTCCCCATTGCTTTGGGCCCCTGAATGCCCTCCTGCCCCCACCATCTCCCTTCTCAGGTCAGAATGTCAACAGCTACCTATCTCCAACACACACACACACACACACACAACACACACACACACAACACACACACACCTCCCTTCTCCTGGGATTCAGGTTCGTGGCTGCCTCTCCTTTCTGGGCTTCAGTTTCCCTGCAGGCACCAGATGGCAGCTCTGACTCTCAGACCTCTCCAGCGATCTGGAGAAGCCCAGAGAGGGGCTGCAGGCAGAAGATGCTTCTGCCTGGAACTGATATCTGTACTGAAGTCCCAAACGAGGCTGAGGGCTCAGCAAGCTGAAGCCCTCCCTCTCCTGTGGGAGTGCCTCCAGCTTGGCTCCTCCTGGAGAGAGCAGTGCCACATGTCACGGTTGGACCTGTATGACTCCCAGAAGAGCACCTATGTGTTGCAGCGAGTTGGCTGCAGTTGGGCCAGCAGAGAAAGAATCTTGTGTTATCGGTTCACTCCCTAAATGCCTGCAACAGCTAGGGCTGCAACAGGCCAAAACTGGGAGCCTAAAAATCCATCTGAATCTCTCCCATGGGTGTCAGAGGCCGCAAGACTTGAGCCATCACCTCTTCTACGCTGTGCATGTGAAGGACACTGGATTAGAAGCAGACTAACCAAGAGTTGAACCAGGCACCGCGATTTGGGCTATGGATGTCCCAAGCAGTGACTGGTTTCAACCACTGCACCTGGATGTCTGCCCCTAGACGATTGACTTTTCCAGAGAAAAATTGGGCACCTCTACCCTCAAAACCACTCCAAGTCCACACCTCCAGCAGGTGCAGAAAAATGCTGACCTAGGCGGGGGCAGGAGACAACAGGATCACCTGTGACGTCAATAACTGTTCTGGAGCCTTCAAGCCTGGGGACAAGGGCCTGTTCTCTAGAGCTGGGAGATGTAGAGAGATCAGGGTGAGACTGGGACTTTCGGCTGCAGCAACTACGACATTCCTGGAGTGTCATAATGAAGAAAGCCGACTCTGAGTCACGTTAGCACCAACACACCCGCATGGAGCAGGCAACTGGAGAGCTCAGACAGCTCAGATTAGATGCGGGGGTGGAAAACAGCCCCAAGGATTCTGTGTCTGATTTCTCAGCAGGTGACTGGGGTGTTTGATGCAGAGACTGAGCCCAGGGAGCAGCTGGGGCACAGGGAATTGCATGAGCGGGAGCCACACAGGACGAAGGAAGGGAAAGGATATGGGATTCCCAGAGAGCCATGGATGTGGCTGAGGCTTGGGAGCAGTGGAAGCTCTGGTTTGGAGTAGAGGAAAGTAGGCACTACAGCCTCTGGGCTGTGGGAAATCTGTGTTGACCCCACTCTTGCATCATCTCCTCTATTCCCCTGCCTTTGATTGGGCCGAATCAACGGCGAAACCAGAAGGCAAGGGAGGGTGGGTGGTGCAAACCCAGCCTGTGCAGCAGGGTAGCGAGTGGAGCACAAGGTCTGGGCTCCTAAGCGGCAGTCTCATGTGCATCAGCAAACATTCTGTAGCACAAAGCAAGCACCAGCTGTCGCCTGGCTGAAGGTAAAACATGAGAATGGGGCCTGGAGATGGCTCAGTGGCTAAATCTTCACCTTGCATGGGCTGGGATCCCATATGGGCGCTGGTTCATGTGGCGGCTGCTCCACTCCCCTTCCAGCTCCCTACTTGTGGCCTGGAAAAGCAGTCGAGGACGGCCCAAAGCCTTGGGACCCTGCACCTGTGTGGGAGACCTGGAAGAAGCTTCTGGCTTCAGATTGGCTCAGCTCTGGCTGTTGTGGTCATATGGGGAGTGAGCCAGCATACAGAAGATGCTGTATTTCTCTGTATTTCCTCTCTGTAAACCTGCTTCTCCGATAAAAAAAAAAAATCTTTAAAACTAAACTAAAACGAAATAAACAAGCCAACCGTGGGAATGTAGGGCTCAAATAAAATAAATATCTTTAAAAGTAAACAAAATATGTAATATATGTATGTTTTCGAAGAAACACAGCTAGAGCTGTAAGGGAGGAGTGGGCAAATTTCCAGAGATAGTGGGACAACAACATCAGAGCTCAGGGAGGTTCTGTTTACACTCGGATCTGCTGAAGAGCAGGGAATTCCTGGCAGAGGACTAAAAAACACAGCAAAAGGTAAACAGGGATGGGATGTCCCAACACTCGGCAGTCACGTGAGGGGTTCCCGTTGGGGAAAGGTGGTAATTTTCCAGGAAGAAGCCATGCTTGTGCCAATACAGGGAGGGCTATGCTGCCCCTCCGCAGACCATCCGCCCCTTCCCCATCTATCCCCTCAGAACGATCCCTTCAGTCTGCTGCCAGGGAGCTCGCTGTCTCCATCCCGGACGGTGTGGCCTGCCCCGCAGGGAGCGGCCGCCGTCCCGAGATCACCCGCCCGAGCGCTGGCTCTGCCCACGCTTCGCGGCGATTCCGCTCGGCCTTGGCTCAGCACACCGAAAATAGGCCGGCTCTTGGCAGCCTTTCCTCAGAGGACGCCAGACGGACGGGTGCAGCGACGGACGCGCTGGCGGAAGGCTCGGGGGCGAGTCGCTTTCTAAACGGGGTTGTGAAAGCCCGGACGCCCGCGCCTCACAGGGCCGCCTCGGGGCCGCCGGCGCTCGGCCTGGGGCCGCAGGGACACGGCAGAGCAGCCCGGGCAGAGCCGAAAGCCCTCAGCCCGGGGGGTCTCTCTCCGCCCCGCGAGCGCCTCCTCAGCGGAGCGGGGCGACGGCGCCCTCTAGCGGGGACGCTGGGATGCGGCTCCCGGGGGCCGCCCGGGCCACGTGGCCTCACGCAAGGCTCCAAAAAGTCGACCCCTACTCCTTCCTTTTCTTGATTGCAGCTATGAGTCCTCTGCCATGCCAGGGGGATTCCTTCAGTTGTACGGATCGACATTTTCTAGTGGAAAGTCCCTCCAACCCCCGCCACCTCCCCCCAGTCACACCTTGAATATCCTGTTTGATCCTTGGGGTTGAAGGAAGAGAGGTTTGCTGAGAAGATGCTTCCGAGGTCTAGCTGTTTCCGTAGCTGTAAGGTGCTTGTGAAGCCCTAGGCGCTGCCCAGAGGCCCACTGCGTCCACTAACCACAGGCAGGGATCCAGGCTTGGATTACGGGAGTCCCTTGGCAAGAGGGGGAGGGGGGCTCCCTGGCAGTAGCCAGTGTGACTGTCCCTCTTGTCTGGTTCCGAGATGCCCTGTGACAGCCAGCCTCCTTCCATCCCCCCCTTCCAGCTGCCCTGGGCTGGCTGCCCAGGGAGGACAGAGTGACCTGGTGACCATGGCACCCGGGCTGGAAGGACACAGGGAGGAGTCCTGTTATTTGTGGTGCTGTTGCCACTTAGCAGTCTTTCATATTTACACTTATTTTTAGGCATCTTCCTGGACATTCTTTCATGTGCCCCGCCGTGTGACTGAGGGTCATTGGATGCCACCGTTGGGAAACGAGCCTGATGGACAAATTTCTGATTGTGGCTGTCATTCTGTGCCTGCAGGTGAATCAGCAGTTTCTTTTCTCTTTCTTAATACTGGGCGTGTTAACACAAAAACAGACTGGGTTGTCCATGTCTTGGCCAGGTGTGTATCAGGAACATAGCGGGCTGTTTGCTGGCAGGTGAAACTTGTCTTGGTAGTCATGAAGTGGACAAGTCAGTGGCACTCAGTAGACCCAGGACGTGTGGCACTAGCCCATGATTCATCTCTGGAGCTTTTTCACCATCCTCCTCAGAAATCCTGTGTTGGGCTTCTGTGTATTTCGGGGCCCTGCAAAAGGCTGCCCGGTTCCGGCACTGACTGTCAGACTTCCTGATGGCCGTTCCTGCCTTCTGCCTGCCATAAGCTGGGGAGAGTGATGGCCGCCAAGGGCCTTCACAGCAGCAGAGGAGGACAGTGTAGCTGCCGTTGGTCACGAAATTCTGCACCTCTGAGGGCCCTTTAACAGCTTCACCCCCTAAAGCAGAACTACAGGCCAGCCGTAGCCCAGCTCCAGGTCTGAGGTGCAGTGAACATGCTGTAGAGATGTGTCTGGTGAGTGAGTGAGTGAGTGAGTGAGTGAGGGAAGTGCTCAGGGCATGTGCTTTGGGGTCATAGATCTGGGTGCATGTGCTGGCCCTGCCTGCTCCTCAGCACGTGGCCATGGTGGCTTATCAGTGAGCACCAAATGGGAGCGACAGTTCTTACCTCATGGTGGGGGAGCGGCGAACAGCACCAGAGATGTGGGGCACTTGGCCTCCTCGCCATCTCCCAGGAAATTTCACAGAGACACCTCCGAAAGTGGCTCTGTCTTCTGCATATGTTTGGCTTGCTACTGATTCCTTTCTGTCCTGAGATTCTTAGGCATTGTGGTATAATGAGTTAAGCCACCACCTGTAATGCCAGTATCCCATATAGCTAGGTGTTGGTTCAAGTCCCAGCTGCTCTACTTCCAATCTAACTCCCTGCTAGCAGCTAATGTGCCTGGGAAAGCAGTGGGGGATGGCCCAGAGTTTTGGCCCCTGTCTCCCCCTGGTGGATCTGGAGATTCCTGACTCCTAACTGGCCCTTCGCAGCCATAGCAGGAGGATTTCACTGTGGGTGTGTGTGTGCCCTTGCCTCTCTATAACTCTGCCTTTCAAATACATAAATAAATATTTAAGTAATAATAATAAAAAGCAGACCTCAGCTTTTTCAAAAGGGGATTTCAGGGCTGACAAGTGAGAGGGAGAGGTGACTCCTCGCCGGCGTGGTTGTTTTGCTTATCCTGCCGTATGTTCCTGCACCCCCAGTGTCTGAGTCCCAGCAGCACTGGGCACTCTTCCCACCCTCTTCCCCGAGGCTGCATGCCCTTCCTTTTTATCCTAGTCCCCAAGGAGGTGGCTACCTTGCTACTCCCTGGGATGGAGACACGGTGCCTATCCCAAAGCCAGCACCTGTCCTTCATTCTCCACAATGCCACTTCCATCCATCCCTTCATTCCAGTGACTCGGCACATTTAATCTCTCCTCCAAGCTCCAAGGCAGGCCATGGAGTAAGTAAGCTGTGGACATGGAGAATTCTAGCTAAGATCCATGTCCTGTTGGATATGGGACTGTCTGCCCAGAAAGCACTTCTAAGTACCTTCTAAAGGTACTTAGAAAAAGTTAATACCCAATGGGAAGTACTAAGCTTCACTACTCATTGAGTGTCGTGCACATGCAGGGGGCCGGAGCAGTGCAGGTAAATAGAGCACAAACTTGTTAATATAATAACAGAGCTGTTAGGATAGGCTCCAAAATCATTTCCCAGTCACCATGCATTCCCTCTCCAATTGTAACCATCTGACACTTACAGATTAAATGCCTAAAAATAGTGATTGTGGCTCAGGGCCAAGTTGAGAAACACTATGCTAGGATGGTCCATTTCTCTAGGCCCTGGGGAGCTACACAAGTTCCTTTCTAAAAGATTAATTTGTTTATATATTTGAAAGAATTAGGGAAAGAAAGAGGGAGAGAGCTTCACACTGGCCAGGGCTGGGCCAGACTAAAGCCAGAAGCCAGGAATCCCACATGGTCCCAGGGTCCTTTTCCTTTGCTTTCTTAGGCACAGGAGTAGGGAGCTGGATTAGAAGGGAAGCAGCCAGCCCTTGAACCAGTACTTCAGTGGGGGTGCTGACATTACCCTATCCCACTGTGTTACAACACTGGACCCTACTGAAAGATTTTAAAGCCCTGCAACAACATAATCAAATTTGCATTTAAAAAATTATTGAGTGATATTTGGAGCATGGATTAGAATAGGGATCAGGGGCCCGGCGGCGTGGCGTAGCGGCTAAAGTCCTCACCTTGAACTCACTGGGATCCCATATGTGCGCTGGTTCTAATCCCGGCAGCCCCACTTCCCATCCAGCTCCCTGCTTGTGGCCTGGGAAAGCAGTCGAGGATGGCCCAAAGCTTTGGGACCCTGCACCCGCGTGGGAGACCCGGAAGAAGTTCCTGGATCCTGGCTTCAGATCGGCATAGCATCGGCTGTTGCGCTCACTTGGGGAGTGAATCATTGGATGGAAGATCTTCCTCTCTGTCTCTCCTCCTCTCTGTATATCTGACTTTCCAATAAATAAATAAATCTTAAAAAAAAAAAAAGAAGGGGATTGGAAGCCGTTTACAAAGCTGGTGACCTAATGCAGCTTTCACTGGAGCTTGTGGGGCCTCAGGCTGTAGCATGGCAGGGACATGAAGAACACTCAGCAGTGAGGGTGACAGATGAAGAGAGGTCAAGGTTGACCACTAGTGTTAGCTTTTGGCAGCCAGGTGAGCAGCAGGATGGAGATGTGTGTGTGTATGTGTGTGGATAACTCAAGTCAGTTTGTAGGTAGTAGATTCAAGGTGAGAATACAAAACGAAAGAGTTTGCTATGGCTATGAGTTCAAGAAAAGCATCTGGGCTATGCCTGCACTTGTGGGTTTGAGGGTCGTGGGTGCAGAGTCAACTGGTGGTTGAAACTTGGGAGGTGCAATGACTGGCAATGAGTGTTAGGCAAGGGGTCCTAGTAAGCCCTGGCATTGCAGAGGCAGGCTGAGGCTACGTGCAGCCGCAGGAAACAGAGGCAGTAGAAGGTCCTATGTGTTCAGAGAACCACAGTGGGAGGGATTTTGGAGGAAGAGGGTGGGGTGCAAAGTGTGGGATCCATCAGAGAGATTCAAACGAAGAGGCAGCCGAGAGCAGAGGAGGAACTGAGGCAAAACCAGACCTGGGGGTGGGGGGCGGCCTGGTGTATGGCCTAGTGGCTAAAGTCCTCACCTTGAACTCACTGGGATCCCAGATGGGTGCCAGTTCTAATCCTGATGGCCCCGTTTTCCATCCAGCTCCCTGCTTGTGGCCTGGGAAAGCAGTCCAGGATAGCCCAAAGCCTTGGGACCCTGTGCCCACATGGGAGACCTGGAGCAATCCTGACTCCTGGCTTCGGATCAGCACAACACTGGCTGTTGTGACCACTTGGGGAGTGAATCATCAGACAGAAGACCTTCCTCTCTGTCTCTCCTCCTCTCTGTATTAGGTGACTTTGCAATAAAAGTAAATAAAATCTTAAACAAACAAACAAAAAAGACCTGGGAAGAGAACATGGAGGTGGAGGGCCCCTATGATCAGTGCTGCCTGAGTCTGTCCTGGAAAGGATGAGCAGCCATGAAGTAGGCCTGAGAGGGAAGAGCCACTGCTGCAAGTGACAGCCGCTGGAATGGGAGTGGAGCAAATGCTCCAAGTCACCTGCTCAAAACCTCCCCTGCTTTCCTTGCTTGCTTCAGCAGGTAGAGAACAAAGTGTCAGGGGGACAATGACTCCGCCTATCCCTGGGGCAGGAGTCATGGGGATTCTGGTTCCTTTGTGCAGTGGTGGGAATTGAGCTTTTGATCCACTTTTGGCCTATGAGACTTAGAGAGATGCTGATTGAGGTTCCTTAGGAAGTATTATTTCTTTTGATAAATAAGATAAAGAAAGAAGTCTTTGAAGGCAGTGGAAAAATAAAAAGAAATCGTCCATCCTCAAATGGCTGCAATAGCTAGGGCTGGGCATTGGCAGGGAGCTGGATTGGCAGCAGAACTGGAATTTGGAACTGGAATCAGCACTCTGATAAGGGATGCCCATGTTGCAAGGGTTGGATTGATGTGCTATACTACAGCAATGGTCCCTTCCTTTTTCCCCCGCCTCCTTTCAAATTAGAAAATTTTTCATTTAAAAATTAAAAAAATTTTTTCTTTTTGTTTTTTTTTTTTTCATTTTATTTGAAAGGCAGAAATATAGAGAAAAAGGGAAAGAGAGAGTGAGAGAGACAGAAAGATTTTCATTTCCTTGTTCACTCCCCAAAAGCCTGTGACAATCAGGCCAAAACCTGGAGTCCGGAAGTCCATCTGGGTCTTCCACCTGGGCAACAGGGACTTCAAGGCCATTGTCTGCTGCCAGCCAGGCTATGCATTAATAGATTACTGTATTGGAAGTGGAGAGACTAGGATACAAACCAAATTTTAGACACTCGTTCCCTTGACTTGAAAGTTGGGAATGCTGAACTGTTGTTCAGAACGGGGTCTGATGGAACGAGAGGCAATACCTGAGTCCTTACAAGCAGCGATTGCTCGTCTCAGGGCTGCTGAAGAATGTACAGGGCCAGGCAACGGAGAACCAGACGTTCTAGGAGAGAAGTCCAGAGCAGTAATGCCCAGAAGCACAAGTGTCACAAGCAGCATGCAGGATGATTAGAAAAACAGCAGGATTGGGAGAATGGATCTAGTTTAGTGAGCTAGTGGAATATTCTAGGTGAGAGGAAACTAGGACAGTGGCAAGGGAGATGGAAAAAGAGGACAGATACAGGAGGCCTTGTTGAGCTTAAGTCAGACGTGGGAAGGAAGGAGAGAATCAGGGAGAAGCCACATCTCCTAATACAGCAATGGGAGGGATCCTAAGTCCTGGTTCTGGAACTTTCTTTTGGCTATGGGACATCTTTGGCTACAGAGCCTCTGTGTTGGGGGCAGGTGTCATTCTCCCTCCATTTTTCTTGTTGAGGGGTTAGGTACAAATTAGGGGAGCATGAGTGCCCTGTGCCAAGACTTGGGGAGGTTCCATAGCCATGGAAACCTGCTGAGAAGGAACCCCAGGCTCATCTGAATGCGTTCCTATCACTGTCTTGAGATTCTTAGCAAATTCTGGAAAGGGCGGCTCTGCATTGCTGCTGAGAAGAGAGGGGCCCAAGCGCCAGCCTGTGGAAGGCTGGGGAGGGGGAGCGGGCAGACAGTGGGGGCACAGCCAGGGGCCCGCCTTGCTGTGGAAGACACCGGGGTCATGGTGGCTGCAGGTTCCCCGGGGCTGCTGAGGGTTCAGGGAACAAATCCATGGACAGGCCTGCCAACAGTGTCTGGCACTGAGTGAGTGCCTCTGAGTGTGGGCATCATCATCATCATCATCATCATCCCCCCTGCATTGATTCCACGTTGGGACAGCACTGAGGCGGGTTATTCTTGGGGTCACCTTTTCTCATTTCCACATTTTTTTATCCTGCTATCACCCCTCAGCCTAACCCTGTAATTATCCTTTTCCTGGTAGTGTGGGGCTGGCAGAGGAGGGCAGGGGGACTGGACACAAAAGATCACGTGATTATCACAATAAATAAACAAGCAGGTGATATCACATCCTCCCTTTATCCTTAGAGTAGCCAGTTTGGACTCCAGGGTGTGTCTGTGAGAGGAAGAATTTTTATTTTTAAATGTAACTCAATTAACTAGAGATCTGATTGATCTTTCTATTTAGCTGCTTCTTGTTGTTGTTCACAGGGAAAGGACTCTTCAACTCTCTGCTTCCTCCCTCCCTCTCCTTCTCAGATCCCTAAGGGCAGGGCAGGACCTCAAGCAGGGCAGAGTGTCATCCTGATCCTACTTTACCTCCCCTCTTCTCTATCTCCCATCTTGGTCCCCCCAAGCCTGCCAGAATCCAACCTTTGTCCTTTGAGTGCAGCCCTTCAGTGGTGGTTAAAAAAAAAATAGCATGTTGCTCTGTGAACCTGTTTTCCTGACCAAAGTCTGGTAGCTGTTCCCCCTCACCCCCACCCCCAACTCAGCCCTTCCCAGCACACTCTCATCACGAGGCAACTTGCTCGCTCGCTGGCTGTCCTGGGCCTCAAGTATGCCCGAATTACATATTTTTTCCCTTAGCAGAAATAGTTGTGGTTTCTCCTAACAACTTCGCAAGTTCCCCACCGAGTTGGAAATTCCCTCCTTGCTCACGGCTCTTGCTAGAGGCACAGGAAGCCTGCTGTGGACCCGGCTTTACTCCTGCCCTGCTGTGCCACTCTGGGCAGCTGGTGGACTCTCTGTGAGCCTCTCCTCAGAGAGGAGATCAAGGTCTGGGGAAGGATTTAGTTTTGGAGGACTTGGGAGGTTGAGGGTGAGACTTGCTGGAGTCTGATACTGCCCATTTCGCTCACCTGACCCCCTCCCCCGAGACAAGCTGGGCTGTGCCTCTCCTACCTCTACACATGTTCCTCGGAGGCCCCAGATAAACAGAAGGCTGAGTCCAGGCAGCAGAACTGTTATTATCCTGATGATGATGCTGAAGCTGCTGTCAGCATGAGAAACAGGAAGTGAAACTGACTAGAATGCCCAGCAATAATCTATTGGGCCCAGCTCCTCCATGGGATCTGAGGGCCAAGAGCCAGGGTGCAGAGCCGATTCTGGGTCCGGGCCCTGGAGCGGGCCCTTCGGCTGGGGGTGGTGGCACATGTGCTGTGAGCAGTGCCTTGGAGTTCTTGAGGTTGATCTTCAGCCTTCCCCCTGCCTGCCGTATCCTCAGGGTGCTTCCTTATTATTTCCTTCCCCATTTCCTAGAGAGAGCTTCCCACGACCGGCTGTATGGCAGTGAGGGCGTCTGCTGCCCAGGCCAGCCTGAGCCCAGGGCCCATCTCTGCGGCTGGTCTGTCTGCAAAGCGGACACATTCCCCAGCCGGAGGCCTTTCTTCCCCTCCCTCTAGGGAGCTGTGTATTCATCCGCCCCACACTCCATCTGCTCTGTTGATTACTTGCATCCTTTGTCTTATTCAGGAATCGATCATGGATAAATGGGAGTTGGAAAACAAGGGCGTGGTGCAGTGGAGGGGGGACCGGTGCAATTATCCCACGCTGATATTTCCATTTGCAGCAACTCAGCCTCTGGAAATTGGGTGACACAGGGAAAGTGACCTGATTTCCAGCCCACCTTTTTAGTTCAATTTCCTAGGGAGGAGACAGCTGTGTGGCCAGTAAAGGAACCCGGCTGCGATGGCAGAAATGTCTTCTTACTGAACAACGCTCTGAAGATGCATGGGGAAGGGGTGATGGTGGTGGGCATGTGATGATGGCAGGGAGCCTGTTGCTGGACAGACTGTTGGGCTCCCGCTCTGCTTCCTGGGGTCCACAGCTGTCTGGCTTTTTTTTTGGAGCCAGATTGCTCCTCTGTAGAGGGACCAGCCTTGTCATGCAGTAGGTTCAGCTAACATAGTAATGCCTGCTTCCCGTAACCAAGCCCTGACTTGAGGCTCTGCTGTTCTGCTTCCAATCTAGCTCCCTGCTAATGCATCCGGGAGGGCAGCAGGCGATGGCCACCCACATAGGAGACCTGGATGGAGTTTCTGGCTCCTGACTTTGGCCTGGCTGTCACGGCCATTTGAAAAGTAAAACAGCAAGTGGAGAATCTCTCTCTCCTCTCCCCATCCCATCTGTCACATTTGCCCTGCCTTTCAAATAAATAAACCTTAAAAAAAAATACTTGTAGGTAATTGGATTTGGGTTTGGGGAGAGCGTCACCATTTGCTTCTCATGGCATTGTGAGCCAGCATAGGGATGCAGAGAAGGCCACCCAAGGGTGGGTGAGGGTCACAGCTGGGCGCTTGGCTGAGGAAGCCAAGCAGATAACCTTGTATCCCTGGGGCAGGATAGGTGTTAACACGTTCCCTGTTCAGCACACGGTGCCCAAGAAGACAGGTGTCTGGTGCTTACTTTATGCATCCAAGCCCAGCTCCAAAGGTCTAAGTCCTGAGACCTCAGTTTCCTCCTCTGGGTCCCTGGAAGGTTTGTGTAACATCACCTGGTAGGAGTGTAATGGGCCCTGACTGAGTCAATGCCCGGGATCATCACAGTCATTTCAGGAGCCCTGTAAGTGTTCGGGAGATGGGAGCTATTATAGCATGACCTTTATTTGTCCTTGTCTGTCATCTGCCATCCTCCATCCAAGCCAGCCAGGAAACATCCAAGGGCTATGTTCAGTGATGGGTACTGGGCAGGTTGCTTAGTGTGGGCATGTAGTTTTGAGGACAGAATCTCCTTAGAGACTCCCTCTCGCCTTGTTCCTCTTTCTAAACGCACAGCAGAGCTATGTCACAGTGAATTCAGCTGTGCTTGGGTTCCTGGCCTTGCTCCTTACCCATTCTCTCCTTCACTTGCTTCTTCTGCTTCCATTGCTCTTTCTCTGCCCAACTTCCCAGGAAGAGAGGCCCCAGGTGTCTTGGCTGAGTAAGGTCCCTGGAACCCCTTTAGGCTCTGGGATGACTTGTCTGGGGGAGGGAACTGTGGAAGGCGTAGGGCAGGAAGCTGCCGGTCCTCCCACCCTGCAATTCTCCCCTCCTCAGGCCCTGGACTTCTCTGCGAGCTCAGAGGAAGCTGGAGGAGGCCACTAGGCCCTGTAATAACCACACTTCTCCATGATAAACAAGAACCAGATTCCTGAGCAGTGACGCAGGCAGAGCACTGGCTGGGGCAGCTGTGATTACACCAAGGTATGTAGACACCTCCACTGGACCCTGGCCTGCCACAGGAGGGGCTGTCCACAGGCCCCTCTGTGTTGTGGTTTTGGTCGTTTTCAGTCAGAGTGACAGGGACTTTGGTAGCCACACATGGACCAACAGGCAGCCTTATACTCCCTACCAGACCAGCATCCTCCCATCTTGCCCAGAGAGGAGGACTTGGCCATTCCCCTTCCCTCCTCCTGTGCCCAGTCCCCCACTCTGGCCTGTCATCCCTGTCCTTCTTGCTCTCATGCTAGAAGCCACATTCTTTTTCTCCCTTCTTATTTTCTGTTTCTCTTTCTTTTTTTTTTTTTTTTTCAAATTTTATTTTAACATTCTTTACATAGTTAATTAGGGTAAGAAGGTTCAAGGGCTACAGGAAAGTGTATAATACTAGTCTGTTTTCCATATTGTTACCTTCATGTTTAAAGGGGGGTATTAAGGGAGAAGGCCCACCCAATTTCCCACCCTCCCCAGGTCCCGGATGTAGGGCATGCTCTGAGGTTCTTGCTCAAGTAGTTTTGATATTGCTACAGTTATGAATTGCTGTCAATCTTGCCACTCCAAGCACTATGGTTTCTCTTTTTCTGACAGATTTATTTATTTTTGTTTTTTTTTAATAGATAAATCTTTTTTAAAATTTATTTTTATCACAAAGTCAGATATACACAGAGGAGGAGAGACAGAGAGGAAGATTTTCCATCCAATGATTCACTCCCCAACTGACTGCAATGGGTGGAGCTGAGCTGATCTGAAACCAGCAGCCTGGAGCCTCTTCTGGGTCTCCCACATGGGTACAGGGTCCCAAGGCTCTGGGCTGTCCTCAACTGCTTTCCCAGGCCACAAACAGGGAGCTGGATGGGAAGTGGGGCTGCCAGGATTAGAACCAGCGCCCATATGGGATCCTGGCATGTTCAAGGTGAGCACTTCAGCTACTAGGTCACAGTGCCGGGCCCATATTTATTATTTGAAGGGCTGAGTTACAGAGTAAAGCCAGAGAGATCTTCCATCCACTATTTCACTCCCCAAATGATTTTAAAGACTAAGGCTAGATCAGGCTGAATCCACAAGTTTCCTCCTAGTCTCCTATGAGGGTGCAGAGGACCAGGTACCTAGGACATCTTCTTCTGTTTTCTCTGGGCCATTGGCAGGGAACTGTATCCGAAGTGGAGTAGCCAGGACACGAACCAGTACCTGTCTGGGATGCTGGCACCGCAAGTGGCAGCTTTATCTACTATGCCACAATGCCACAATGTCACACTCCTGTGAGTGTTGGGTCCTGTCTTGGATCCAACAGCTAAGGGTGCACTGGAATTAGGTGCCAGCCCAGAGGTTGTCAGAGCTAACTGACTTGGATCAGCCCAACCTGTCCACTGCTGTCCCCTACAACACAGCTGCTGAGCCTCTGGGATTGAAGCCAGATTCAGCTCTTGCTAGATCCTAGGTGGAAGGTTAGATTGGCTCATATGCCTCCAGGAGGAGCTGTGAGAAACTGGGGCAGAGAACTGGGTGGCTGGGGAGTTAGGGCAGGAGGGAGGAGCTGTCCTATTTTCCCTATTGAGTTTTCACATTTTGTACCATGTGGATGTATTAAAGGTTCCATCTCCTCACAAAACACAAGAATTCTGTTTTGTAAATTTGTCTGTCACATACAGAGGAGCCTCCACCTCCATCCTCATGACAAAAAGGCTGCTGGGAGAACTCGTTGAGGAGGCCTCATTTGGGCCAGGCTTCAGACTCATGGCTGTCAGAGGCACATGGCTGCTTGGGTTTGGAATATCCTGTTTCCAGATGACTCAAAATCTTGTACCAGAGTGGAGACACATTTCTGTGTGCAGTGGGCCAGGAAGGGGAGGGACAGCCATGTGACCTGAAGGTCATGATGATCCAGGTAATGGTCAAGCCCCCTCTGCTTTGGAGAAGTCTGCAGGGGCAGACTATTCATGCTGTTTGCTCATCTTGGTTAGGGGTGGGACCAGCTAGTGTTAGCTCTCTGTGGTCTATGTCCTCCATAGTAGGGTGCCAGGGGCTGTGTCTGTTTTCTAGGCATTGTTGGGAGGAAGATTCAGGTGCTATTGTTTAACAGGCAGAGTTTCAGTCTTGCGAGATGAAAAGGATTCTGGAGATAGCTGATGAATGCACTAATGCCACTTAACTATGTGTTGTTTTGTGTGTGTGTATTTTAAATGCTCATGTGTTTGAAAGTGAGACAAAGAGGTATCTTTCATCTACTGGTTCACTCCCCAGGTGCCTGCGGCAGCTTTGGCATAGTCTGGCCATACCAGAAACTTTGAATTTGATCTAGGTCTTCCAGGTACTTAAGGCATCACCTAAAGCCTCCCAGGGTGTGCATTAGTGAGAAGCTAGATCAGAAACAGGCAAAAACGTGAATTCAGGGGTCCTCATACGAGATTCTAGCATCCCATGGAGCAGCTTAAGCTCTGTACTGTAAAGCCCTCCTGAACTGTGTATTTTAAGAATTGTTCCAAATTCTTATATTTGTACCACACAACACTCTTCATGTTCATGCCCAATAGCTCCCCAACTGCCCAAAGTCCAAAGACTGAGTGGAATTTCCAGCCCTCACACCTGCCTCTCCCCTACATACCCTTTCTGTGGTCCAGTCTGTGCTGACCCCCTGCTGTTTCTCAACAGCCCAGGCAATTTCCTGTCTCTTTCCATTTATTATTTCCGGATAAGCTGTTTTTCCTATGGCATTTTCCTCTTCCCCAAGTCAGATGTCTCTTTCTCTGTGAGAAGAATCTCCTGGGAAGAATCTCCTATTTATGAACGCTGCAGCACCATTCCTAAACCTTCCAAAGGCCCCCCCCCCCCCCCCCCGTAGCTTGGCTATTACCACAACCAAAATCAAACGAGAAAATAGATACATCATACAATATAGAGAATTTAAATAAACTTATAAGTGGTGAAAATGTAAATTTTATGGTATATATATTTTTCAAAAAGTTTATGAAAAATACAACTGTGAAAAACTATGCATAGATTTCCATTTTTGGTATCAAAATATGCTTAGATTTATTTTTAAAATGTTTTTTTAATCTGAAAGGTCAAGCAACAGAGGGAGATGTAGAGAGATCTTCCACCTGCTGATTCACTACCCAAAAGGTCATATTAGCCAGGGCTGAAGGCAGGAGCCAGGAACTCCAAAGTACTTGGACCGTAAGCTGACACCTCCCGGGGGCACTATCAGGGAGCTGGGTTGAACATAAAGCAGCTAGGACTGGAACCAGTACTGTAATATTGGATGCCGGGGTCATAACTGACAATTTGACCTACTTCACCACTGCAACTGCTTTATACTTCCCTCTTCATTTCACTTTTCCATGGACATTTTAAGGTCCCTGTTCATCTTTTTTTTTTTTAAAAAAGATTTATTTTATTTTTATTGGAAAGTCAGATATACAAAGAGGAGGAGAAACAGAGAGGAGGATCTTCCATCCATTGATTCTCCCCAAGTGGCTGCCACTGCTGGAACTGAGTGGATCTGAAGCCAGGAGCCTGGAGCCTCTTCTGGGTCTCCCATGTGGGTGCAGGGTCCCAGGGCTCTGGGCTGTCCTCAACTGCTTTCCCAGGCCACAAGCAGGGAGCTGGATGGGAAGGGAGGCTGCCGGGATTAGAACTGGTGCCCATGCAGGTACCCATATAGGCGAGGATTTTAGCTGCTAGGCTACCTTGCAGGTCCCCTGCTGCTCATCTTTAACTTTTCATACACTTGCGTACACCTGTGCTGGCCTTAGCTGTCTGACAATGCTTCTAGATGACAACTGTATCACAGATGGGCACTAACTGGTGCTCAGTCAATGCTTGTGGCCACAGAGGAGGGCATGGAGCTGACTGAGAGAGGGCAGGCAGGCACAGGCCTCCAACACCCATGTTCCCCTTGCATCTCTGCTGCCCTGGGGGAAGTTCTAGACACCTAACCAGGGCCAAGGGCAGATCCCTCCCCAGCATCAGTGAAAGAACTTCCAGGAATGAGAGAGTTTTGCTTGCCATGTGTGCTTTGTGGGTCACACAAAAGGCACAACTTCCTCTGGTGGTGAGAAAGCACCAGCAGTTCTGAGAGTCTGAAGTTGTTGAGGTCACACACACACACACACACACACACACACACACACACACACCTGTCAAGATGTGGTGTCAGTGGGGGGGTTTTACGGGGCAGAACAGTGAGGTTCCAGTGGTTTGCATGTATCTTTCCTCTCTAGAATGTGGGAGTCTTCACAACCTCACAAAATTGTGAGGAGAAAAAAATCAGCTCTTTCTTCTGGTGTTTGTGAGAGAACAGAAAGGAAAATATAATATCTGTCTATATATCATGTATATCTTATATATATTTAGGCCTTTCCACAGAAGCTTACATAGGCAAGGACCCCAGATTGACAAGTGTGTACATGACTCCATCCATGGCCTCTGTGTCTTACAGGTGGGCTGGTCTCTGGAGCTCCGTGTGAGCCAACAGTGTGTTGGCCTTGCCCCTCCTGTGCACATGGATGATGGTGGCTCCTGACAGGGCTGCCTGGCAGTGCTGGGGTGGGGGTGAGGGGAGTTGGATTGATCCTCAGAGCATTTAGGAACTCAGGCTCTTAGATTCAGGCTCTGGAGTCCTTCTCTCCTCTCTCCTGTGTGAGTGATGGCCTTGGCCAGGGAGTTCACCTTTCTGTGACGCTGTATTGTCAGTGATCAAAGCAGCAGAAATAATACCACTTAGAGCATCGCCAAGAGGACCGGACGAGATGATACAGATGAAAGCACCTGCTGTGTAATAACAGCTCACCTTCTCGGAAGCCACTTACCATGCGTCAGGTAAAACGTGGAGTGTTGTTTGTGTGTTTAATCTAAGGAGTGTTATCTCTTTCTTCATTATACAGAAAACACAAAGTGGGAGATGGCAGAGGTAGGATTTGAACCCAGGATTGGTTCCTCTGTCCTCTGTTGCTTCAAAATTGTGTTCTCCCGTAAAGCTGTTCGTGTCGTTTGTCTTCACTTACTCCAAATATACACTCCACACTTCCTCCCTGCTTCCATATGTTTATCTGAAGTGAGTGAGGTTGGGGGAGGGGAGGTGGAATCCAAACAGCAGCGGGTCATCAGGCAAAGACCTAAAGATCCCTCAGGTCTAGGCACCCTGGCCGTGTCCCCTTTTATTCCCTTTGTAATCCATTATCCAGGCTGCAAGCTGAATATGACAGTTTGGATCTCCCAGAGTACACCTGGGTATTTGTCTTCCCCGCATTTTTCAGACTAAGTCTCGGGATTCACAATTAGGCTTCTCATTGTCCTAATTAGTCTTACTTGGAGTCCCTTTGGACTGTGCTATGTCTGTCGCTGTTCAGAGGTAAAGTTTCCCTTCCCCTTGGGGTGCTTTCTTCTCTCTTTCCATTCCCGTTCCTCACCAGCTGCTCCCCGCCGCAGCATGAAGCTGTCAGAGAGGCTGCAGGTGAGGACGCTGCTGGGGTCTGGAGACAGAGCATCGCTTCCCCTCTGGGATGCCCTTGGGTAGGGCACTGTGAAGGGCAGTGGCATTGGGTAGACCTCCTTTCTGTGCTTCAGCTCGTAGCATCTGTCCAGAGTGGGAACAAGGAAGGGTTGAGAGAAACCATCTGGAGACCCATGCTTGGGAGTTACTTTCTGAGTTAAAAACTTCTGTGGCCCATGATTCCTGTATAGGAATATTCCTTGCATCGTTTTATCACAATACACATTTCCCTTTGAGAATCTTCGAGAACCTCTGGTCTGCAAGGATTTCAATTTTATCTTAATTCCATTGTCCCCATACTTGTTGAAGTCCCTGTGGTAGCTACCATGTTTGCTTTAGAGAATTTCTCATTTTGTCAAAGAAACACGACCTTGCGATATGACTCTGCTTCTGTCTCCCAGGCCTCAAGTCCTGTTGCTATCCAAAACTGGACTGTCGATGGACAAAGCCTCTTTCTTTTGCAATATTTTGTTGGCTCTGTCAGCAGAGACAGGACTACTCCTGTGTGGATATGGACACCTGTCAACCTGCCATGACCCAATCTTGCCAGGAGAATGTTATCTGAAATTTCCAACAAGTTCACATCCACAGATTTTCTCACCGTCATCACACATCCATAATGCCATGCCATAGTATAATAGGAAATCCCTGGTCCCTGACCATGTGACAATATATATGGAGAAGCTTGGAGAAGACGGGTTGCCATGTATGTATGTATGTATCTGTTCTGGAGTATAATCCAAGTCAAATGCACATAGTTCAAAATGGTAGCTCAAGCTCCAGCCATTTCATTTTTCCTTGTAGCCCACGAGAAGGAGAGGAGGAGCAGAGGGAGGATTTACTTCCCTCTAGCCACTTCCGTTTCCAAGTCGTTGGCTAGAATTCAGTCTTATGAACACAATCAGCTATCACAGAGCCTGGGAAATGTAATTTTGATCCATGCCGTCATGTACTCAGCCAAATGATGGGGGGCTCTTTTCTGTTAGAAGGGGGAGCAACACACGTTATCCTGGAAAACTACCCATCTCAGCCACAGACTGTGAGATTTCAGTGAGTGAAGGCAGCTGTGAGCACCGAGTTGGGCACACAGGAAGTGCTCAATAATCACTGCTATCGTCGTCCTCCTCCTCACCAAATGAAGATGGGGGCTGTTCTGAAACTGTACTGGAATGTTTGCTTTATGTTAGCACCGCATGGGTGACATAACCATCATTGCTACCCCTTTTAAGACACTTGAGCTTCTTTTTGATGAATGGATTTGGGAGGATGATTTCTTTGGGGAGGGGGAAGATGGGGTGGGAAAGGAGAGGAATTATCTGGTTAGGTATATGTTGTTGTCAAAGTCCGAGTTTTTGCTTTGGATGGTGCTTGACAGGGTCTGTTGCGCTACGAGAGGGCTTCAGAGAGTTTACCGAAATTCACGTTATCTGTCTATGAACTTATCGGGGATCCCAAGATGACATCGGGTGGCCATTCTCTATCCCCCGGTACTGAGGTGATTGGGAGGCTGGGTGTGGCTTCTCCCCTTACTCCCTCCACCCCTTGCCCTGTATATAGGAAGAAGGAAAAGAAAATATGGAAACAAATTGTCTCACTTTCCCCTAAACTTCGACCTTTTTCACCCAGACCAACTATGTAAACATCATCAAAAGTAAAAGTTAAAAAAAAAACCCGGAACTATTAAATATCTACATAGAAGTGGAGAGGCATGTTATGATTATCCAATGGTAAGAGTGTACCATGACTTAAGGACTGTAAGAAGTGAATTCTTTGTTTCCGAGGCCCTTCACTTGTGTGTGTGTGCACTGTATTGTATGGTGCCTGTGAGTGTGTGTGTGAGTGTGTACATGCTGGCAGTAGGCAAAAACAGAGCTTCCTATTTGCATGGAGGTTTAATGTTTGAAGTGCTTTTACATAATCACGTAAAAGCTGTTTATTAAGTGGTTCATTACAGATGGTAGAGAGCTCGCTGCTGCACAAATAGAACTTTGAACTTCTGTGTCCTGCAGAAAAACAGTCCAGTTTAGCCTCACAATAGTCCTGCTAGGCAAGCAAGAAGGCAGGACAGATGTCATTATCTGTTTCAACACAGGAGAAAGGAAGCAGCAAGATGCCTGGGCCTCTGGTGCAGCGCCAGAGCCAGGCAGCAGCATCAGAAAGGAATGGCAGAATCTGTGCTTCCTCTTTAGCTTGTCTTACCCCTCTGTGACTCACTGGGCCATTAGGCATTTATTCCTCTGCATGCCAGGCCCCCTGGGCTTGTATGCTGTGGTCATGTGGCTATGTGTGCAGTTGATACCCTTGCTGTGCACCATGCAGGGGCCCTTGGGGTCCCTGGGTCTGCAGGCGCAGGTACGAAGCCCTCGTAACATGATCGGAATCCCCAGCTGGGTTTCAGGTGTCCTGTTGTTTCTAAGCCATCAGGGTTCAGCTTCTCCCCAGAGCTCCCACCTGGCAGCTCTGATGTCACGGACAGATTCCCTATCTGTGAGGCAAAGGAGTGCTGACTTTGAATCTTCCTGATCATTTATAGTCGGAGCTTTATGAGGAGTTCCCATAAACCTCATTTCTTTCTCATTGTTTTTGTTTTGATTTTTAATACAAGAGAGGAAGACAGTTGAGGTTTTATTTTATTTTTTGGATTTATTGATGTATTTGAAAGCCTGAGTTAGGGACACACACACACACAAACACACACAAACACATCTTCCATCTGTTAGAGATATCTAAATGACCACAATGGCCTTGGACTGGGCCAAGCTGAAGCCAAGAGCCAGCAACTTCCTCCAGGTCTCCCACGTGGATGCAGACAGGGACCCAAGCACTTGGGTCATCCTCCACTCCTCTCCCAGGCACTAGAAGTGAGTTGGATGGCAAGTAGAACAGCTGGGACTTGAACTGGCCTCTTATGGGCCTTTACATGCCACACCACACTGCTGACCCCATTCCTCATTCCTTTAGGTACAGAGGCAGGTTAGCTGGCTTGTTCAGGGAACTCAGCTGGAGGACTGACTTGGGCTCAGCCCGCTTGTTTCTGGATCCTGTTGGTTTCTCTTTGTGCTGTGCAGCCTGTGCGGGGCAAAAATGCACCTATTCTGTTTCTGGCCTTGTGGAGAGAAAGCAGGTGGCGGCTTAACACCCAGCCACAGCAGGCCAGGGAGTTCCTGTGAGAGCCCTGAGCAGCCCAGCTGGGGCCTCCCTCCCTCTTTTCCTCCTGGTACCTCTCTCTGTCCTTAGGCATGGCCATGTAGCTTCCAGGAGGTGACAGCAGTAACAATAAAGGGGAAGGGGAAGGTGCTCCAGTCTCAGGCACTTGGGTAGAATGTTTCTGTCTTGAAGGAGGTGGGGGGACTCCAGGGGGTTGTCTCCCCATCTCGGCCCTGCAACCTGGGAGCATGCTGCCAGACAGAAGTAAAGTCTTCCTCTATGTGGTCCTGCCATTCTTGCTGTGCCATTCACTGGCATTTGCCTGTCCTCATCCCCACCAGATGACACTGCTCGCTGCCAGATGCTGAGCATGGCACCTGCTCACAGCTGGTCCTACCCTCCTGCTGCTTGGAAAGAGAGCGAATTCACCTAAGGGGGACCATTCCTCTCCCTGGCCCACAGGGTGACCTCTGCACACCCCTGGAGGGGACAGGGCCCTGCCCTTCACTCCTGCGAAAACTGAACAAGGCAGGAGTTGCCAGCAGTTCTCCTTTGCTTACCTGGACTCTGTTCCCAAAGTCCTGTTTTTTTGGGGGGGGTGGGGAGTGAGTAACTTTTAGGGGCCTTGTGTAGCCACAGGCCAAGCCTCATTCTCTAACAGAGCCGACTCCAGAATTCAAACCAAGTCTTGTCTTCACGGGTCTGGCTGATTACTTTGCTTATTTCTCAGCCGCTCTGCTAGCACAGAGGGGAGGGATGATTTGATCCTCCAAGCCCCCAGCCCCCAATGAGCAGTGCTATGACCAGCCCAGTGGATTTTCTCTCCCAGAGGAGCAGCTGCTCCCCTCCCAGCCAAGAGTCTGGCGTCCCTCTGTCCCTCTCCCATCCTGGTTACCCTACAGGTGCTGCTCCCACCCGGGGAATCTTCTGAACTAGAACCGGATTCCTCAAAAGACACCTGCTTCTCAAGGCTTGTGTTTCAGCATTTGTGTTTCCACATCAGAAACCAAAATCTTATCTCTCCAAGTCTCCGCGCAGCCAAGAGAGGGGCTGCTGGCCTTGCCAGCAGGTGCAAAGGAAGGGTCTTCTCTGGAAGGTTTAATTGCTAAATTGTTCACGGCTCCAAGTAGTAATGCATCTTTACCAAAAAACAACACAGGGATGAGCAAAGGAAAACAAAACCTCAGAGGAGGATGCTTAAGTCACCATCTGCTCGCACCTGCCCCAACACGTATGTCCGTAAGGCCTCATTTTGGGGAGGGGCTCCTCACCAGCCAAGGTACCCCTGCTCTTCCAGTTCGTCGCTGCAGTCCAAAACGGGCCAGAAAGTTGGAGGAAGAGTGGATCTTCTCTCTGCATGACGTAGCGACACCTCCACGCCTCCCCGCGCCCCGCGCGTGGCTCCCATTGAGGACTAGGATTTCCCCATCTTTCTCCCGCTGCCCCCACATCCCCAGCCTTGGGGCCCCCCGGACCTCCCCCGCGGGCCGCAGGCACCTTGCGGCCTCCCCTTTAAGGCCCGCCCCTCCCCCACGCCCACGCTTCCCCGGGCCCCGCCCCTCCGACCCTCCCCTTTAAGGACCGGCCCCGGACGCAGACGAGGCTGTGACGCGGCCGCCGGCCCCGGGGCTGGGACTTTGTCGCGCGGCCGCTGCCCCCCGGCCGGGCCCCGCCGTCCCGCGGCCCCCGGAGCTGCTGGCCGCCGGGGGTGGGGAGGGAGGGAGGGAGCAGGGCCGGTGGGCACCAGCGGCGGCACCCACGGAGCCCCGCGGCCCGCTGAGCCTGGAGCCGGGCCGGGGCGCGGACGCCGGCTCGAGCCCGGAGCAAACTTGGCAGCCGGGCGGGGGGCGGCAGGGACCCCGTCCCGGGCCGGAGGAGGGGGCGGCCGCCGGCGCCATGCTGCCCGGCTCGCAGGGCCCGAGCGCGCCCGCGCCGCCCCCCGGGCCGCCGCCTCCGCCGCCGCCGCCGCCTCAGCCCCAGCTCCAGCCCCAGCAGCCCCCGGCCCCGGCCCCGCCGCCGCCGCCCCCGCAGCAGTTCCCGCAGTTCCACGTCAAGTCGGGCCTGCAGATCAAGAAGAACGCCATTATCGACGACTACAAGGTCACCAGCCAGGTCCTGGGGCTGGGCATCAATGGCAAAGTTCTGCAGATCTTCAGCAAGAGGACGCAGGAGAAATTCGCCCTCAAAGTAGGTGTGGGCCGGGGACGCGCGCGCGCGCGGGGATCGGTCGCCGCCCTGGACCGAGTTTCCGGTCACCGGCGGCGGGGGAGCACCCACGGGACTCCGGCGTGCCGGGGTGGGAGCCGGCAGCCGTCGGCTGTTCCCGCCCCGTCCCGAAGAAGCGCGTTTGGGGCGCTGCGGTACCCGGCCTGGCCACTCTCCTCCCTCCTTTCTTCCCGCGGGCACAAAAGGCCTATTACTCAGCGGGCGGGTGGTCGGTGGGTTTGGAGAAGTCGCATCTCCGAGGTTTCCTTGCCCTCGCTCCTTATTTGGGAGCCCCGGAATGTGTGATTTCACTTCCCCGGGCCTCTCGAGGGCGGCCGGGCGGCCTCGGGGCGCGCGGCGCCGAGTCCCGGGCGGCCGGCGAGTTCCGCGCGCGCTGCGCTGCTAACCATCGCCCCAGATTCCCCGGGACCCCCAGCTCCCTAGGGGCGGGAACCCCGGCTCGGCCCGTGCGCCCCACCCCACCCTGCCCGCCCCAGCGTGGCCTCTTGCGTCCTGGGCTCTTCGTTTGATGAGCAGTGGAGGAAGCATTACCTGGAGCCGGGGAAACCCAGGGTGTATTTGTTTTGTTTTTTTTGAAGAGGTGTGGTGGTGGTGCTGGGGGTTGGGGGCAGGGGGCAGGGGTGGGTGAGCATTTCAGGGAGGATACCGTCCTGCCTAGTTAGGAGCTCCCGCGAAGTGTCAGCGGGGTCGCCCCAGGTCACCAAAAAGGTTTCAGCTCTGACCACGTCTTTGCAGGGAACGGGGCAGGTCTGTTTCCCCTAGGGTGTCTTAATGATTGGAGGAGGAGAAGAATACTTCCTGTGTTGTATTTTTTTTCTCTTCCCTTTCGTGTTTCAGTTATCAAATACAAAACTCTGATAGGAGTTGTGGGTGGAGCTGTCGGGCGCGCCATCAGCCTGTTTAGCCTGGCGCTGGCGGAGAACAGGGGCAGGCTTGTCCGGTTTCTGGAGTTGGGGAGGAGGGGGGGTCTCAGCGGTGTGGAAGGGAAGACTCTTGCAGCTCTTTTCGTCAGATTTCTTTGCTTCTTGCTGTATACGTTCTTGTTGTGAGGTCTCTGCTGTTGGTTAATGGCGACCGGGGGAGAGAGAATTTTGGCAGCTTCTGGGACACTCTGGTAGGCGTGTCCTGCACCTCTCTCCTTGTTCACAGCAGGGCTGGAGGAATTGTTCCGATTGCCTGTGGCTCTGACCTTGGGGGTTGCAGTTTGACCGCAGTTAACCTGCACAGTAGAGGAAGTGACAGACGCGATTTCCAGGAGGGTTTTCTATCCCCTTGGAGACACCATCTGCCTCCCCTGTCAGCAGTGTGGGGATGCGGGCTGATGGATCTCTTGAATGGTTGGGATATTATATAAAAACGCTTGAGAACAAAAGCGCCCAACTTCTGTTGCTTCATAGACTGGGACACACAAAACCGTCTTCTGAAGTGGTGCTGGGTAGCAAGTCACATTTTTCTTGACTTCAATAGGAGAACCGCTTGGATATTCTTTCTCTTTTGAGTAGTTCTGAAAGGAAACCTGGCAGTCTCTTAAGTAGCATTTGTGGTGTAGCCTCCTCTGTTAGGAGTGGGTGAGGATTGAAGGCAGTCTGTTTTGACAGGCAGCCTGCTCCCAGGCCTTCCGAGTTGACTCAACTGTTGAATTTGTACATTTCCCACACATCTTTGTGTTGGGACTTAATAATAGAAGAAGAGAGGAGGAGTGAGGCCTGGAGACTGACAGCAGTGTCAACAGCACTTCTATATCCAAATATTGGCTGAGACACAGTTGCAGCTGTGGAGGATTCTGAGGCAGAGGACCTGGTTCTGGAGGCTTCCAGATCGTGAATGTTGATGAACTTGAGCAATCAAGGAGAGAGGAGTGATTTTATTTTCCTTTTTTTAAAGATTTATTTTTATTGGAAAGGCAGATCATATTTCTAGAGAGAAGGAGAGATAGAGAGAAAGATCTTCCATTCACTAGTTCACTCCCCAAATGGCTGCAATGGCTCGAGCTGAGCCGATGTGAAGCCAACAGCAAGGAGCCCCCTCAGGGTCTCTCATGTGGGTCCCAAGGCTTTTGGCCATCCTCTACTGCTTTCCCAGGCCATAAGCAGGGAGCTGGGTGGGAAGCGGAAGAGCCGGGACATGAACCAGCACCCATATGGGATCCTGGTGCTTGCCAAGGTGAGAATTCAACCATTGACTTATTCTGCCAGGCCTTATTATTATTTTTTTCTTTTTAACAAGTAGAAGTCTTTTGATTATGAAGTCAGACTTTGATTATAAATCTATTGGGGGTGGGTACAGGTGTGGGTACCCCAATAAGGAAGGATCCAAGAAGGAGGCAGACTGGGCATAGTGTGGGAAGGCTATCCCTGGCCCGGTGCCTCCCACTGGCATTGTTGCCAGCTCCAAGCAGGTTGCAGGTGCTGGGGTGCCGGCTCCCAGTCTGTGTGGTCCAGCGACCTCTTAGACCTGTTAGGTGAATGTAGGACTTTAGAAATGATCCCAGCTCGCCATGCTGCATCTCCACCTCCCGTTCCGAGAGCTGACATTTACATGGTTTTGGTGGGTACCATGACCTCACCTCACTGGCCCCCTGGCTGCTCTTGCACACAGCTCTGAGTCATACTCATACTTGTAGTCAGAGTCGGAGGGGACTGCAGTGGTCATCTTGGCAGCTCACTTGGTTTGCAGGTGAGAAACCTGGGTGGGTGTGAAGCAGTGACTCATTGTAGGGATCTTGACCACATGCTTGGCCTAGGCAGGATTAGAACTCAGATTGCCTGCAGGGATGTGGACAGATGGGCAGGGCCATGGAGCTGGCAGGTGCTCCGCGGCATTCAGAACTGGCGAGCCACTCTTGACGCAGGTCCTTTTTGCCTGTCCTGGCTCCTGGATGGGTGTTTACCATCTCCTGCAGCCTGGAGTTTGGGGTCTGTTTTAAGAGATGTCTTTCTGCCTTACCAACTCTTTGTATTTTAAAGGCTCAGGAATTCTGTTAACTCTTGTTTTGGCAGATGTGGGGGCAGGGGAGACACCTGGACTCAGAGTACTTGTGTATTGATTGGTCATATTCCCCGCGGGCTCCTCAGCTGCCTGCTGCTTCACTGTGTCGTGGTGACGCTTTGGTATTAGCTGAACAAATTTAATTAAAGCTTGCCCTGTTGTTCCCCTTGGCTGCGTGATGCTGATTAAGGCAAGCATGTTATTGCTTTGTAGACTATAAGATGTTGTCCTAACTTATCTCTGTTTATCTTTCCATGGCGTAGCTTAGAGAAAACAAGAGCCCGTGTTCTTCTCCTTTCCTCTCTCCATCTGGCCTCCTTCCCCAGGATCATGTATGTGCCACAGCCGTGAGGCTCTTGTGAATAGGAGCTGACCACAACCTCTCACTGTTGGTCTGGATGCTATCAGAGGGAGAGGCCAGAACCCCGACGTGTGCCCTTCAGGCCCCCTCCTACCCACATGCCTCTGGCTGGGCACCTTCTATAGGGGAATGATGGGGAGGAGTGTAATAAGATGGAGTATCCCACCGGGGATTGCCTGAGAACCTTGGGGATCAGTTAGTGTCTTTGGCAAAGACAGGGTTAACGCATGTGGTTGAGAGCTGTCTTGGCTACTAGTGATGTGTGGATAATAAAATGTCGATTCATGAACACAATAAAAGAGACAACATCAAAATCCAGCTGCTTGGCATTCACACATGTGTGTTCAGTAGCCAGCTGTGGCTATTGGCTGCGGAGTTGAGCAGTGTGGAAGAGCATTTTCGTCCTTGCAGAAAGCTCTGCTAGACTTGGCTGGTCCAGGTGTTCGACTGTATGATTGGGAATAGAGGCACCTTAGAAGAGGGAAGCTTCAGCTGGTGTCAGGGGGGCATGGTGTGGGCCTCTGAGGAATGAGGCTGCGGTGGGCAGCACAAGGATGGAGCAGGTCAGCTTGGCAAGGGGAAGACAGTGCTGGGGGACTTCCCTGCCCTGTGTCAGAGCAGGTGTTAAAGTACTTGGGAGGGGCATGTGGTTGTTACTCCGAAAGGGGGGGGCCCTTAGGTTGGGGGGAAGGGTTTGTTTTCTGGTTTCAGCGACGACCTTGTTCTTCTCTTGGGAGAAGGCTCCACGTGAGCCTGGCTCCAGCCCCAGCCTCTCTCTGCTGTGACAGGACTCTTTGGCATCACTGAGTTGGGATCAAAGCCTGGTCAGCTGCTAGTTGTTCTTCCACTTATGAGTCCTGGGCTTTGGTAGAGCTTGAAAATGATCTCCAGCTAAGATCTGGGCTCAGTGGCCAACAGGAGGGCAGAGAAAAGCCACTCCAGGGTCTCGTGGCCAGGTGTGGTTGGGTGTCTGGGAAATGCTGGGCTGCTTTTGAAAGGAAGAATATTGGTTTCCAGGGCTAGGAACCTGTTTGGACTGCCTGGGACCCAAGGACTTGTATTGTTATCAGTTGATAATTTTGCTGAAGAAGGAGGTGCAAGGGGTTTGGAGGAGGACTACAAGAGCCAGGACTTGGGATGGCTAGAGGCATATTTAATGTAGTCCCTGCGCAGATTCAGCCATAGGGGAAGGGATTAGAATCCCAGGTTGTGTGGGGCTGAACAGGGGGAATGGGTCACAGTTCGCAAGCAATTCTGCTAGGCTCCAAGCCCAGATTCCTCCTGAGGGTTTGATTCCCGCTTTGTTGCTGCCTCTTTCTCTATTCCAGGCCCTTCCAGGGTTCATGTGGTGCCCCACTTCCATGCTATGCTGTGTGATTCTGGAGGGGTCTGTGTCTTGGAGGGAGATAGGTGTTGTTTGAGGGGACTGCAGGTACTGTGGCTGGTGGTGCAAGGCCCAATGGGGAGGGAACCACGTGTCCTGGCTCTGTGGAGAGCTGACATTGCCTGCTCCTCTTTCTCAATAGCTTCTATCTCACGGAGGGCAAGGCTGGGCCAGCGAAGGTGTTCGTTCGTTTGTGCATGCTGGGATTGTGTCTTGGGCTCTCTCCCT